AAAAAAAAAAAAAAAAAAAAATCCCAGAAATATGCAGCTTTCCCCCTCCTTTCCCATGCCCCCCCTCCCCCCGCAAAGCCAGCGCCTCGGAGCTATGCACATCTCGAGACCCCCTCATCTCAAAGCTCCCACCCGTCCCTTTCCCTCCCCGGCTGCCGCCCGGGAGCTGGGCAAACAGGACTGCGGGAACGCAAGCCAAGGAGCACGACCGGCCCCGGGGAAAGCCCAGCCGCCTCCTCGCAGCCTGGGTTTTGTTTTTGCATGTTCTAGCAAGGTGCATGTCACAAGGAGGGGAGTCAGCAATGGGGCGGGTGGTGGGTTGAGTTCAAGCTTTTATTTTATTTTTTTTTTTCCTTTTTTTCTTTGAAATTTTTAATTTTTTATTTTATTTTTTTTTTATTTTTTTTTTGGCGTTGGGAGAACCTCGTGCCGCCCCGGGAGCCTGGCGTGGCACTCGGGCACGCGTCCGACCGAGCGAGGTGCGGTGGCAGGGATGCGCCGAGGCCCTTGGCGTCTGGAGGGAGGACCTGAAGCCCCACGGGCCACGTGCTGGGTGCAGTGATGGTGATTTTAGGGTTCTCGATGCTGAAGGATCACACGCCCGTTGCCTGGAGACTGCCTCCTTTTTTTTTTTTTTTCTTGCTTTTTTTTTTTTAGTTATGTTTAAAGGAGAAAAAAAAAATGGTGAAAATGTTATTTAGTGGCAGAAATTATTTAATATAATTTCTTTTTTTTTGTGAACAAGGAATGAATTTGTTAGAACTGTCTTAATGTAAATTGGAAGTCATCTTTAAGGAGAAAAAAAAAAAAAAAAAAGTTAAAAATTGACCCAGTCACTCGGCTCTGCTGTGGTTTATTTTGGGGTGTGCTGGGGTGCCTGGCGGCCGGGCGAGGAGCCCCACGGGTGCTGCCTGGCTTTTGGGAAGGCAGAAAGGTTTTAGGGGCTGGTTTACGGCCGCTGCCTGGCTCGGGGCCCCTCTCCTGGGCCAGGGCAGCGCCGAGCCGCCGTCGCCCAACCTCCCCGGCACGTCGGCACTTGCGAAGTCGCTCCCGGGCGCTTTTGTTGGAGAGCTCTCGGCTCCCTCTCCTCGCCGCTCCGTCCTTCCAGCCGCTGCCTGAGTAAATAACCCTCCTCCCGGGTGCCAGGAGGAAGAGGAGGGCATTTGCCGGCTCTTGCTTCACCCCCCAGCTCTTTCCTCGCCCCTCCTGCGGGGTCCCCGTGGGCTTGCGGGGCGTTGGTGAGCAGCCCCGCCCTGGCACAACTTGAGGCTGTTTCCTCTCACCCCATCCTGCTGGGTTACAGCTCCCAGGCTCCTGCTTGGGGGTCCCCAACCTGAGCCCCGCTATGGGGAGCAGGAGACGGCTCCTCCCGCCTCCGGCATCGCCTGCTCCCTCCCGGGGTTGGGCAGCAGGGCTGCCCCCGTCCCCCAGCTGTGCTGCCACATCTGGCTTCTCCCCTGCAGCATCCCTACCCGCTGCTGGGGCCAGCATCTCACCGTCGGGATGGGCTCA